CTTTGTAAAGAGCTGTGGGTTCTGGGGCTGTGCTTTGCTCTGTGCTCACTCCCAGCCTCTCCTGTTCCCTCTGCAGTTGGCTGCAATTCTGATGGTCCTCAAAGGACTCCCGAGCACCTACAACAAGGACCTGCAGGTAGAGCCCTTGTTCCTCTGCACAGCATCTCTCTGAGCAGACACATCATGCCCTGCCCTTGAGCTGTCCCAGCACTCCATTTCTGTGTGCTGGTGAAGGGGCTGAGGGAGGGGATGCTGCAGGTGACCCCCTGAGTGCCTCTGGGATCACATCCCTGCTCTGCCTGTTGTGCTGCACCAGGCTGGCTCAGAGCCATTTCCATCCCTGTTCCACCACAGGAGGACAAGGAGGCTGTCTTTGATGTCATAGACACCCTGAATGCTGTGCTCCAGGTTGCCACTGGAGTGATTTCCACCCTCCAGGTAAAGCTTCATCTTTTAAGTATTGAACATGGAGCACATTGTGTGAGTAACACAGGGGACAGGGCTCCAGACTGGTCCTGAAGTGAAAATTCTTCAGTGCCTCACCCACACTGCTCATTTTGGTCCCTCTTAGAGCTCATGTGCCCTAGGATGAGCTGATGGTAGATAACATCTCCCTCTGCCCCTCCTTTCTGCAGATCAACAAGGAGAACATGGAGAAGGCACTGAGCCCTGAGATCCTGTCATCTGACCTGGCTCTCTACTTGGTTCACAAAGGAGTAAGTGCCAGAGGGAGAGCTGGAGCTGGGATTTCTGTGGATGCAGAACTGCTCAGTGAGGAGCTGGGATGAGCAGTCAACAACCACGAGAGCTGAAAACACATCCTTCACACGCATCTCAAGCAGTGCTACCTAGGGGACTTCATAGTGATTTACACCCAAATTACTTGATCATAATTTATTCCTAAATCCTCCCCTCTTCCACCCCAGCACTGCCAGATTCAGCTTGCATTGCCCTAAGGGAAAACAGGCCAGCTGAGAAAGTAGCACATCCATTTCCCTCGTGGAAAAGCAGCCCAGCTGCCTGGGCACTGAGTGCCACCTCTGCTTGCCCCTGCAGATGCCCTTCAGACAAGCCCACATTGCTGCTGGCAAGGCCGTCCACCTCGCCGAGACCAAGGGCCTCACCATCAACAATCTCAGCCTGGAGGACCTGAAGAGCATCAGGTTTGTGCCTGTGTTATTTCCTTTCCTTGGGCTCAGCATCCCTGATCTGCCTTCCCCAAAGTGCCTGGGCTGGGCAGCACCTCAA